ATTGAACTCAATGTGTAATCTGATTCATTTATCTCTCGTTTGCTTATATTTGACGGATTTAAGTTGTTTATTTTATTCAGTTCTTAATGCTTCTAATTGGTTGATCACCAATTAGATTGAAATGGATACCGAAGTTAAACCTTAACGAAAGAGGTTTAGGTAGACATGACTAGAATAATGTATGATCGAATGCACTTAGTTAATTAGGGGGTTTGATTTACATATAGGGTAGATATACACATATATGCCATACGTAGCTAAGATTAAAGCATGAACTTAATGAATTTGTCTTTAAGTTAATTTTCATAGACATATAGTAAATTAATTAGGAGAGATATTTTTATGAGAAACTCGACAAAAACTTGTAAATAATTTAGGACTCTAGGTTAGCAACTTAATCCATTAAGCTAAATTAAAAGAGAGAGATAATATTTAAATGAAGTATTGAGGGGTACCATAATTTTAGGTCTGGTAGTCACTCAAATTTAATAAAGTAAATTTGCTAATAAATTTTAGTTTTATTTTTAGTTTATTAGTTTTAATTTTAATTTTAAGTGTTTGGATAAGATTATGGTGTGTCAATTTTAGTATTTAACAATAGAAATTAAAACAATTCTTTATAGAAACAATACTGTACTTTATCACTATATTATTTATTAACGATATGTGTACTTGTGTGAGAAATCAACAACACAAACTAATCTTAATATTGATTTACTTGGCCATTTTGAATTTTGAATCTTGAAATTCTAATTTCGATACTAATGTAGTGTGCCTCGATTTTGAAGGTGTTGTCTTGATATTGAAGTTCTTACTTTTCGATACATTTGAACTTCTTCTCTAGAGTCTAAAGTTTGAAGGCGAGTTATTGGAATTCTGAAAGTGTGTCTTAATACACAAATCCTTTCTTTTTGGAATTCTACACTGCTAAGAAGTTGTCTTAATGCTTTATGATCTTGTTCTCGATACTTCAATATTTGTTCTCTAGAAATATAACTCTTCTTAGCGGAATGTAGATATTGTCTAGAGTAGTCTTGATACGCCTACTTCCTTAAGCTATTTCTTGAGGTAAACACAAACTCATCTTGATACTTTTTTTCGAGGTCTCAATACTTTAGGTTAGTTTTAGCCTCTTAACAACTATTGAACTTAAGTACCTAGCCTATTTTTCAATCAAAGTCATGGGGTTTTCTTTAAAGTCCAATTGCATTAGGCATTCAATATTTTGATAACTAGCTTTTATCATATTAAAACAAAGGATCAAACATAAAGCTAACAATATCCGTTTTTTTATATGACAAAACATAATGAGGAAAATATGAATTTTAAAAGTTCTTTTTTAGTTTGTTAGCTCAAGCATAGCAAATATATATATATATATATAGAAAGTTCCCCTTACTTTGTGCAAAACAAAAAATGAGTATGTGTGAGAGGTGCATTTTTCTCATAACATCCTTCTTCCTTTTTTTGTTATATTAAAAAGAAATTGAGCATAGTAATTGGCAAAATAATCAAACATAAAGCATTATATGAATTCTAGAATTATAGTATTCTATCTCAAGGCAGCATTCAAGTATATATATCCTTCTCCTCAAGCATGTATGACTCACACAAGTAACTAGAACCAATAAATACCAAATTAAGTTTCATTCATATTGATCAAGTTAAGACAATATTCAAGATAAATCATGATGTGTATGTAGAAAATGATGATGATGATGATGATGATGATGATGATGTATATGCAATATTCTTTGAGTTAATTATCCAAAAAAGAATTCATCCAAGGTGTTTGTTAACAATAGGTGTGCCTCAATGCACAAAATCAGGATCCCAAATGAGGTCAAATTTCATGGATCTGGCTTAGCGATCATTTTCTTGAAATGATCTAATTTCCTTTTGCATACCTCTCGTTCCCTAATTAGTCTTTTGATGATACTTCCAAAGTAGTCCTCCATCTCAACAATCTATGAGTTTACAATGGTTGAATTTACAAAGACCTCAGTGTCTTAATTTTCATTTTCTAGCTCTGTCTCCTTTTGTTCTAGGACTTGTGTAGATGTCACGTGACTTGGATACTATCCACCATTTGTTTGCTTATATTGAATTTCATTTGCTGCATCTTTAATAATTTACTGAGTATTAAGCTTGATAGGAGGATCAATTTGAATGTCAACTCTATGGAATTCAATCAACTTGTTTACCACCATTCCATGTACTAGAGTTCTATTCTTCTTTGCAATCACTTCCATATATCTTGCAAAATGAAATCAGCCAAGTTGAGCTTTATGTTGTGCTTAATGTAGTGAATGATGAACATATTGTTTCTTATCACATGTGTGGAGTTTGTCCTACTTGACCTTAGGTTTTGAAAAAAAAGTAGATGCAAGATTCTATCATGAAAGCTGAGTCGATTTTCATTGAATGGCTTTAGTGGTGTTGGAGGGGGTAGATAAAGAACTCCTTTTGCAAGTCTTTCTCAAGAAGTCTATCCTTTAGACTTCTTAGTTTTCTTCCTTAGGGATTTATAAGGTATGATTAATTACAAGAACAAAAATTTGCACTTCCTTTCCCATAACTAATGTTATGAACATTTCTTAAAATTCAAAAGTCATTCCATCATTAGACTTGAAAGTTCTGGTGGTATTTGAGCAGAAAATTTGACTAGTTCCTCATTTACAGGCCTATTCATTTTTAATAGACTAATCCAACCTTACTGTCTAAGCTTATCTAAATATGCCAAGCTTATATTCTTAAGATGTTTAATGTTAACTAGTCTACTAAGCAATGCTTAAAGGTAAAAGAATAAGTCCATGTACCTTTGTCTTTGATTAGAGGTCTTGAAGTTTACCTTGATGTTCAATGATGATGCGGATGGCGATTCATCCAATCCATGAACTTGATATCTTGATGCCATTGCTGTTAGACTTTTGGTGAAGGAAATTTTTTAGAGTGTGCCTAATGATTATGTTTAGAAATGAATAAAATAGGGGTGTTTTTCAAAAAAGTTGAGTAAGTGTTTGTCCTTTGATCTTCTCGCTTTAAGGTATCGATATCTTTCCAGAAAGATTTCAATACTTTTAATCTTAGGATGCTTTTCTGTTTTGGCTACTAATTTTCCTATCTTGATCGAGATTTCAAAATGTATCAATATATTGGGAATTGGTCTCGATACCTTGCTTTTTTAGCTTATTAGCGAGGGATGAGGTTGGATAATTTCTCAAAATGAATGTATGCATCATATGTTGTGATAAATATATGCAACAATGTTTACATGCAATCTATCTCATTTAACTCCATGTGCAATTTTAATCACAAAAGTGCTTGTACCTTGATCATGTTAACATGTACCTTTGAGTTTTGTGGCTGTTTCATTCTTGATGAGAAGTATCACTAGCAAATTTATTTTGTCTTAGACTTTTTCTTTTTCTTGATAAGTGAGTTCATTTCTTCCCCATGACATCATATCCTTTTGATCTAGCAAGGTTGCGTAAGACAATTTCATTTGCTTCTTAGTATTCAAGTTTTCTTGAATCCATGATGTTAGCATGTTGAAGTTTAGTTTCTTTTGGATCCCACATCATCCTTGTCCTCTTACCATAACTAGGTTTGATTCTTCTTAAGGTGTGATCATTTACCTTTGAAATGCCTTCATGTGCAACAACTTCTAAGGTTCAGAAGTAAATAAAATGACCTAAACACTAATTTTTGAAATTTCAGTATTTCACTCAACTTCAGTCAACTTGTGTCCCACTTAGAGTATGATTCTTTCAAAACTTTATTCCTTTTTTTAGGTCATTTAAATCCTTTTCTAAGTTAGATACCTTACTTTCTAATTCATCCTTGAGTTTGGTTAGAGTATTATTTTCATCTTTTAGGTTAGAGTTCATAGTTTTATGTTTCAATACCATGCACTTAAACTCTAGGGCTAATTCATCAAATGCATCTTGTAACTCCTTAAATATATAAGACTCATGATCAAAGTTAAGTGAGGATGAAGCATAAAGGTTTGAAGATAACTTCTACTGAGCCATGAAGCATGTATCGATGGTTTCCTTACCTTCTTCACTTTGAGAATCATCATTGTCACTCCACCCTACTACCATCGCTTTATTCTTGGTGTTCATGAGATAGGTGTTGTTGACATTTGAGCAATCGTATTTTGTGTGACCTCTTTTTCTACATTCATAATAGATAATGAGGTTACCTCCATGATCACTTTTGGGTGCATCTCTCCGTGTGTTTCTCCTTGGCAGCCTCTTATCTTTACCATTCTGCTTGTATCTCAAAATTTTGTTGAACTTTTGGTCAATGCAGCTTTGGTATTGATTTGTACAAGCTTCCTATCTTTGTCATCCCAGTTTTTCCTAAGCTTGGCTACTACTTCACTATCTAGAATCTTAGCAGGGACATGAGGACCTTATAAAATAATGGTTCATTCATGAAGATCATGAGCTTGAATAAACATTTCAATCCTTCTTTCCCAATAAAGATAATTTTTACCATTAAATAAAGGAGGTTTTACTAGAGATTGTCCCTCACCTAGGGGAGTGGTTGTAGGAGTTGCTACCATGGCCTTTGAGCTTTATGAATCTTTTCTCAAGGTGTTCTAACTTGCTCGAGGGTAAAGCCAAAAAGACACAAATCTAAAACAATATTTTTGTCTATATTTTTTTGTCATCAATACTTTTTTCAAGAGTTTTTATGTGGCTTGAGCGTAAACATAGGTTCAATTCTAGTATATTAAAGGACAAACATTTTAATTACTTTTTTTTATTTACTCTTTAAAAATAAGATATTGGGAAGAGGAGAGTAGGTGAAGCCAAAAAGACAAACAGTAAATAAACAAACTTAGGAGCTTTTAACTGAAGTTTGAAAAATCTTTGTTCTTAACGGTGTTGTGGGGCTGTGGGAAAGGGTAATTGTTCAAATTGCAAGCCTTTCGTAATCTATTCGCAATGGGGAATTATTCAATAAACAACGCTGTTCAAATCACAGCCACACACAAACGGCCAAACTGGCCACTTACCAGCATCACCAACATAGAAAGAAAGCAGAGCAAGTAAAGCGAACACCTTTAACCCTTTTCTTATCTTTAGCCTTAACACAGAAACGAAAAGAAAAACAACCCATCTTTAAGCAAACAGAAAAACCCAACATACTGAATCATCAAAAAAAATGGGAACTGTTATAGACTCCCATTTCTTAGCTCTAACTGCCATTGTAACTGTATGTTTTTATCTTCCTTCTCTTTCTCTTTCTTTTCTTTTTCTCCCTCTAGAATTGACACTTTGAATTATTTTGGTGTTTTGTGTAGGTGGGATATCAGTTATTTTTCTTTATAATCACTGCTCTTCTCAAGTTTGACAAAGTCACTGACTTTGCAGGTACATAATTCATACATTTAGCTTCTTTTCATGTTCTTTTTGACTATTGTTTACAGCAAAGTTTAGCAAATTTCAAATTTTTGGCAAAGACCCATATAGCAATTCATGGAATTCTTCCTATGCAAAAATAGTTTTTTGGGTTCTTTGGTTGCTACTATTAGGTAGGAGTTCCTTTGTACAGTTACCTTTGACATGTTATGTAAGGATATGTTTTTTTATTTTTTACTCAGGAAGCACGAATTTCATTATAATTGCTGTGTTGACTCTGGTAACAAAAGGGTCATGGCATTTTCGACAGGTAAGTGAGAATCTCTCTCTGACCTTCAAACATGAAATACATTGACCAAGGAAAATGTTGTAGAATTATCTGAAATCAGTTTCTGCTAGAAGGTATGCGTGAAATATAAAGAGTGTACCTATGTTAGGATTTTGATATGAATTCTACTCAAACATTGTTCAGCTCTGGCTGGATAGTACTTGATCAGTTAATTTAGTTTGGTTCTAATTGTGTTTGATTTTGCTTTAATATGTAGCATGCTGTAGCTCATCTAAAACTGTTAGTAATTATAATAATTCAACACTTGTTGTATATAAGACTTCAATTTACAAGAGTTCCTTCTTGGGGATGCATCCTTTGTTTGAGATGGAGCTGCTCTATTTCTTTTCCTAAAATGTCTAGCACAAGCTATGGGCTACATGTCATACATTGATTTCATTGATTTTACCCTTTTCAGGAAAATTGTCTTTAATGAGTCTCACTTTTCAAGAAAAATTCAAATGCATAGAGTGGAATAAGCAATTGGTTGGAGCATTCATACTTCAATCAATTTTGAAAGGAAAGAAAAGATCAAACTTGCTGTGACTTGTGTATTTTGGTGGACTGCTCCACTGCTGGCACTTTAAATGTTCTTTCATCTCATTATCAAAATCCTAGTTTGTATTCAATCTTCTTTGCCCCTATTTCTACCTGTCCAAATCTTTACTTGTCAAAGTCCTTTTACCTCAATGGCCACTGCCCTTTCCTTTTCTTGGTTAGACCCCTACATGTCTGTTTTGAATGGATTGCATTTCTTCACTCCAAATGGCTGAGGTGTGTTTCATAAAGAGATATGTAAAGTCTATGGTCCTTAACCTCTGCATTCAACATATGGCAACTTCCACATTGAAAATTTTCTGTGTATCGTATCTTGATTATTTTCTGGATATGTGTATTTTGCAGGATTCTTAGACTTCTCATTAATAAATTTAATTTTGAGATGTAATTATGATGTTTTAGCAGAACTTTCTGAGTCATTTTTGAGGTCTCTAAATCTATTTTGATTGGGTTATCTGTTTTTTACAAGTCAACACCTTCAACTTAATTTTCTTACAGTCACACTTTGTATTAAGTTGTTTCCATATTCACCAAAGGAAGTAACTCTAAGGAGATTGCTAATGAGATGAACTACATTCAAAGCTTTTAATTGAGGGGTACAAAGGTTTCTTGACATTTTACTTCCTTTTTCTTCATGTTTTGTTCTTATCTAAAAAACAATGAAAAAGACAAAATATTTATGTTATTTTCTGTCATCCTAGACACCACTAGATTTGCATGCCCTGAGTTAACAACTGAGAATTTGGATGATCTGGTGCTTCTGTCTATATCTCAGCTTGAAATTATGTTCTGTAGACATATTTTTGCTATAATTGATTTTGCAGCTCTGCTTGTCAGGTAGTCTTGACTTTACTTGTAGTAATATGGGGCCTTCGCTTGGGACTATTTCTATTGATGAGGTATAAAGTATGAAATTTTATAAAAAAAAAACTCCTTTCATATGGATCTTTCCTTTTTTTTTTTCTTCTGTATTTGATGATTTAATCTTTTGATTACCAGATGCCATGAAACGCTTTCTGAGTAGCAATATAACAACTTATATGCATATCCCAGTTATTGTATAGCCTGAGTTGTCCCTTTTCCATATCAGCTGAATAAAAACTTTTGTTTACACCATACTTGGGTTAGCTCATAAGGTTTTTCACTCTTGAACTCTATTTAGGGCCTCTTGTCAAGTTGAAGGCCATAAAAGAGATTTGGCTGCTCTTTGCAGATCCAGTTATTGGTATTTGATGTTCATGACTTAGTCCTCTCATTCACCTTTTTCATCTCCACTATTGTAGCATCAACAATTTATTTATTGCTTCTCGACTACCTTCGTGTATATCAATTTCTTAGAGCTATCTAGAGTACCTTCCTTTCTCAATAGTCAGGGTTTGACCAAACACAAGACTCAAGGTGGTCCAAATTATGCTTTTATCAATGTTCTCTCATTTCAGAGCAGTGTTTTTTGACAGTCTCCCTTAATTCTAGATGCTTTTGATTTTTGATACATATTGTTAATATATTATCATTCAATTTATAGAGGCTCAATCAAAGGTTTACCTTTTCTATTGCATATGAAATCAAAAAAAGAAGTTTAATATGCTTTTCTTGGTTGAGTTATTTCTAGGCATTGAAATTTTAATTACAGGTTTTTATTGTCTTTAACTTGTCCGTACACAACATAAGCATGGCAACTACCTCTGTTCACCAGATATCCATCTACATACACTTGTTATTTTATTTCAACAGTGATGTGATGAAACTTAATGAGATCAAGAAACAACATTATAAGCATGCATAAACTAGATGATTGTATTAATGTTTTAATCAAAGTAACCTTCTTAGCTGAAACATCTTTCACCTTTGAGTTCCTTGTTTAGCATTGGACACTGGTATTTATTGCAAGATTAGCTAGATAACTGGTGTTTTTATCTCTAGAGTGCATCCATATTCCAATTTTTGTCTAATATGTGTTAATTAGGTAAAAACCAACTACTGATACTGTAATGGACAATTTTAGATGTTCTTGTCTGGTTTGTAGCTTGAGGTATCTATTTCCATAGTACATGTTATCTAGTTATATTTATATAGAAACCAAAATTTAATCCTTGACTTATCTTTCAGCATCTATAATATCAATAAAAAGACAATAAAAAAGAAATACTAACACGGAAAGGTTCTTGAGGGTTTTTCTATTTTTATTTTGTACTTTTCATAAAGCAGCCTACCAAGGAGAGATGAATGGTGATTTAAACATTGTGTATGCATGATTAAAAGCGAGAGAGGAGGAGAGGGGAAGTATCTATGGGCTTATTGCTGGTCATATAGTCATGTAAATTAAGGCCATGAACTGTATCTTTGGCCTTGTTGTCTTTTAGGTCAAGATTCAGCACTGCATTTTCAGTTCTTATTAATGATAGCTTGATATTCATCAATTTGCAATTTTCTTTACTTATGCAAGATGTCTCATTTTGTATGATTTATGTAAGTTTTACACCTGATAGATAATAATTTTACCGTTATAATTATTTCCGTTCCTGTGGGCTAGGCTATTTAAAAAATGTACATTTAGGCCTGTGGTTGGATTAACATTATGCCCCTAGCATTGAAGGATCCCTTTCATTATCAGAAAAAAAAAATGCAAAAGTAGGCACGTTTTGCTACTTTGAAGAAGCCAATGTTTCATATTATCTTTCTATCGTACTGGTTCTCTGACTTGTGGAAGGGATACCTTTTGCAACAATTCCTCCAAAGGTACTTATCAATAATTATGCTTTTGTGACATTCTGGTGAGCAGAATTTTGCAATGGGGGGAGGACCGGCGTTTTGATGAAATGCGCAGTAATTTGGGGAAATTAGCATTTTTCTGGATATTTCAGGTTCTTATCTTATTGGTCTATATTATCCCTCTGATCAATGTAGCTATTTCTTTGCTGTTTATTGGGGTGAGATTTAATAAATTTGTGTACCCTAATCTTTGCATGCATCGCAGGCTGTCTGGGTGTGGACTGTGAGTTTACCTGTAACAGTGGTTAACGCAAGTGACAGAGATCCTTCCATTCAGGCTGAAGACATTATAGGGTGGATTATGTGGTCAGTGGGTATCTCTGTTGAAGCTACAGCTGATCAGCAAAAACTTTCTTTCAAAAACTCTCCAGAAAACAGAGGAAAGTGGTGCAACATTGGACTATGGAAATATACTCGTCATCCAAACTATTTTGGTGAGGTGAGCATCATAACTTTCAAATGTCACCATTAACCAGCAAGAAAGCTAGAAAAAGAGCTTTGAATTCTTATGTATCCAGTTACATTCCTCCCTAGATGACATTAGCTAATACTACCTGATTAATTATGGGTGTCCCAGTGCGAACTGATTGTGTGATTAAGTGCATGCTTCATATCTTGTTAGCTGCCATACTCTACCATGCTGACTCTAATTAGACCCTGTTTCATGGTTCAACCATGTGTTTATGAAATATAAAGGACAGTAGGTTCATCTTGGTCTTTTTGGTGTATGGATTGCTATAAGCATATGCATGTTATGGACGTCTACATTGGAACATTGCTGGGTGTAACCTTTTTTGTTTGTCTAAAATTCTGGAGGCAGCTTCAGTAATAAATGCTGAAATGATATTTGCTTTTGCATCAACATCATTTCTAACTAACTTTATCTCTGCCTGGTTTAACTTTTTTCGTAGTTAGGAACAGACACCAATCTCCATTTATGTGCTCTCTGTACCACCTATAATGTTCCTGTTGTAGTAGGTTGCAACAGTTAGATTTCTCTAAGCTGAGAATAACAGGCCATAGTTTTGCTTTCTGTTAGATGACTGAGTAGAATCCCACTGAAATAGATGACATGGGATTCAACTAATTGAGAGATCTGGGGTTTGGGTTTATGTTGAGTAAATAATAGGATATGAATCTATTCTACTGTGCCCATGGACATGGCATAATTTCCCTTTCGGTCAGAGTCAAAATAGAGTTCAACCCAATAACATCAGAGCCACTGGACCTTTGATTTTGCTTCCTTGATAATAATTTTTCTAAATGATTTCTTAACAAATATGTTACCCAGATTTTACTTTGGTGGGGAATTTTTGTGGCCTCTGCTCCCGTACTTGAAGGTGCTGAATGGCTTGTAATTCTTGGGCCAATCTTTCTGACATTGCTGCTTCTTTTTGTTAGTGGCATACCATTGCTTGAGGTTTGTTTTCCTTGCTTCAGATTTTATGTTACAAGATATGGCCACAATTTTGCAATATACTGATGTTATACATTTATATTACATATATGGACACAGGAGTCAGCAGACAAGAAGTTTGGTAATGTGCATGCATATAGGATTTACAAGAAAACAACTAGGTCAGTCATACTTTCTTCCACTTTTACTCTCTTTAAATATGAACTGGAGGCAGAGATAACTGAGTCTAACATATTCTCATTTCAGCCCTCTTATTCCATTGCCGCCATTCGTATATGGAAACCTGCCATTGTGGTTCAAAGCCGCTTTTCTCTTTGAATTTCCTTTCTACAGTCGTAATTTTCCACAGGAAGGGCCAAACTGGTGAGACTTGATCTAATACTTTCTTAAATGGTTACTTTTGGGCTGTTATACAATCTTAAAACCTATTTTCCGCTAGTAAGTGTGTCTACTTTCTATCATTTCTATCTAGCAAGAAATTTGTTGGATGGAAGTTGAAATTGAAATCTGAGACTCTAGGGGTACAGAAATAGAGGAACATATTATTGTCTGTGATTTTGTCCGAGCAAACAATTATACTTAACCCACGAAATATGCTCACTACCCAAACGACAATGCCAGCCCTGCCAAAACATGACATAAAAGTTTCTATCTTAATATGTAATCAAAATCTGAGTTACTCTGTCACCAACTCAATTTCTCATTCCTAAACATACATATTGATACAGGAGTATATTATTAGATTATTATTATTCAGGAATTATAAATATCATAGAATTCTTTTTGTACTTGTATTAGGAATTTAAGCTAATCATGTTCTATTTAGGAATAGAATACTTATTTTATTAAAATTTCTTATTAATTATTCTAATTATATTAGATAACTTGAAGTAGAATTTTTTTAGGATGTGGGCGTATGGTACTATAAATAGGACTCTTAAGTTTAGTTATAGAATATTCAAGTTGAGAGTTAATAAATAATATTTTCTTAAGCAGGAGTACTTATTTCTTTAGGCTCTTTTTAAAAAGTAAGAGGCTTTAGTATTTTTGACCTAACCAACCAAAGTGGGATTTTGACTATTCTTTACCTTAGTGGGATTTTCTAACCTTACCAAGATTGGTGATTCACGTTAGTGAAGTTTTCAACCTCGTAACGATTGGTGTCCTTCACAATGTCCAAGTGTCTTTACAACGTCCCGACGTTAGTTTGGTATCAGAACAGGAAGATCATTATTTGTTGCGTAATTCAAGTTTGTTGACGGGTTTCAACACTTCTTGTTCAAGTTATTTTTTTTATTGCTTTATAGTTATATCATCATTTTTTTTTTTCTTTCTACATCACTACATCGTCATCACCATACAATAGAAATGCTGTCAAGACGTCAAAATCGTCAAAGAGATGATCATGAGATTAAGATTGCAGAACTACATCATCAAATTCAAGAATTACAAGAGCAACTAGCAAGACGTGATGCTTAAATCAACAATAGCTGCCTTAGTGATGAAGAGAATGACACCAAGCCGTCTCATCAAATTCGTCCTCTGATGAAGAAGTACCTATTCGTTGCCTGAGAACTGTTGCTACTAGATATTTGAGAATTAAAATCGACATTCTTGAGTTTGAAGAAAGATTTTATCTTGATTTCCTTGATTGGCTCTACACAATGAAAAGAGTTTTCGAGCTCAAAGATATTTTCGATGAAAAACGTGTGAAGCTTGTGGCAATTAAATTAAAAAAGCACGCTTCTATCTGGTGGGAAAATCTCAAAAGGTAAAGAGAAAGAGAAGGTCGCAATAAGATCAGAAAATGGGATAAAATGCATCAAGAACTCAAGCGTAAGTTCCTTCTTGAGCATTATCGACAAGAAATTTTTATCAAATTTTATAACTTGAGGCAAAAAACAATGTTGGTGAAAGAATATATAATAGAGTTCAAACAACTTTACATGAAGTGTAATGTTCATGAGCCTAAAGAACAAACTGTAGCTCGTTATCTTGGTGGTCTCAATGTTGAAATTGTAGATATTGTTCAACTACAATCATATTGGAACTTAAATGATGTCATTAGATTAGCATTAAAAGTTGAGAAACAACGATCACGGAAAAGCTCAATAAGTTCATCTAGACACTAAGAATCTACCTCAAATTATGGAAGTCGAAGTTTAGCAACTATTTTGCCTCCAAAGGTAAGCTTTTCCAAAACTGTAAGCAGTAATGATAAAGAGAATGCTTCTACTCATGCTTCTAATGTC